AAAAAATCAAGTCACCAAAAATATTAGAGTTTACTCTTGGACTCTCAATTCTATTTCATTGGTTCTAATTCTTATCTAATTGGATGTAAATTTCATTGCCTCCCTTTTTTAGTCAATTACTGGGCAGAGGCTAAAGGAGCTCACTGACCTAAGGTGGGTGTGGGCACCTCATGGCCTACGCCAGGGGCAGGTGGCACAGTTATGGAGAGAGGGCTACGAAGCCAGGGTGGGACAAGGAACATGGAATGGACAGGGCATTATGGCCCCTTCTCATTCCTCCTGAGCAGCAATAGTTAGCCTGGTGTTCACATTCTAGGGCAGCCCCTGCTCTGAAGGACCCTAGAGGGAAGAATGGAGAGGGAGGGTGCCAAAAGGAATGTGGCCCCTCACAGGGCAGTGAGGAGGGAAGGTCTTCCTCCCAGCCTGCCTCCCTGCTGGATCTTCACCCTGCTATTTTCCTACCTCAGCACCTCGCATTCTCCAGCTGCCCAGAGAACCCCATGCTGAGCCTCCACTTACACCAAGGCCAAGAAAGGGCTCAGGACTCAAAATAGCCAGGCCACTGAGCTCTGGAGAGCGTGCTTGGAGATGAGGGCGAGGAGGTGGCAGATGCCCAGGCTCCTCTTCCCCAGGATGTGCAGGGAGATGAAGACAGCCCTCACCCCTGTCAGCTCCTGCACAGGCAGTGTCTGCAAAGTTGTCCTGGCTCATGGGAGTGAGGCGCCTGGGAAACTTGAGATAAGGTGAGAATTTCACAAACTTAACTGCCCGCCCAGGCCTGTGGCCTTTGACCAGAAGAAAACACAGCAATGCTGGGGAAGGAGTCAGGGGCTGTGGGCAAAGACAAGCAGCCTCCCAGGAAGAGTCAAACATACTTTATTCAGCACAGGAATGTCTGAACAGAAGGGCCTTGGGCAGGTTCCCTGACAAAGAACTCTGCTTTGAACCCCACTGTAAACAGAGCAAAGATCATCCTGTAAACGCAGGACAAGAGGGGAGGGGACTCTGCATAGGGCCAGGTCAGGTCACAATAGGCCGGCACACAGTGAAGATAGGGCAGAGTGTCCTATGCCCAGGGCCAGGCCAGCTGGGAGACTTGTGTGGGCAGCTCTGAGCAGCTCACACAGAGAAGCCAGGGTGGGAGGAGGGCACGGGTCTGGCTGATTCAGGGGATTATCTCTACCACTGAGGGCAGGGGCATGAATTTAGCTAGGGCAGCCAAGGTTGCTGCTCAACACATGATTAGAAGGCTCTAAGACCACAGCTCGGTGTGGGGGTCGACAGGGGATGGGACCCCTTGACAGGGCTGTGCAGTCCTCACAGCCATAAGCACTGGCAGTCATCCCATATAAATCAACTGTGATGCTGACCTTCCCTGCCCAGGACACCCTTCCTGAGACCTGGAGTCAGTTTGGAAGTGGGGAGGGGGCACTGAGAGGGACAGCAAGGCAGGCTATGGACAGAACCAGCTGTGGTGACTATAGCCTGACACTCAAGACATCATGATTGGGGTAGGGAAGATCTCGGGGTCTCCACCAGGAAAGAGCATCAGTCTGAACTCCGGCCCAGGGCAGGGTCCATGCAAGGCCTGGGAAGTGGCCAATTCAATGGAGGGAACACTGTGTGCTGACGAGCCAGTCCAGGCCTCTGTTTGAAGCACTCCCAGCTGTGTGATGCTGTGCGGGTGCGCACAGGAAGAGGGGGAGGATGGGAGTGTAAGGTTAGGGGATGACAGAAGCCACTCATGATGGCCCAGTTGGGTTCAAGCTAAATTCCTGATTAACAAGCCCCAAAGGGGGTGGGTAAAGGATCATTTTCCTGGACCCATCCCTGCTAACCCGAGGATAGGACATGTTAAAGAGTGTTCCCTTCAGTGACAGGTGCAGGAGACCCAAAGTCTAGATGTGGGTGGCATGGATGCTCGTTCTATCCATGACAGGTGTGGGAGCCCAAAGGGCTGTAAGCTTTTGTGTGAACCACAGACAGTTCACCAGCAGGAGATGGAGAAGCTGGCTGGAGGCCAGGAGGGCAACACTGGTGCTCAGCTGGTATGAGTGACAGCCAGTGCCCAGCTTCTTTCCAGAAATCACTACACTGCACACAGAGCCAGGGGTGGTGGGAGGCCTATGGAGGGTGGGTTCTAGCTAAATGACTCACAGAAAGAGGTGGCACATGCCCTGGTGCCCAGGGATCACAACCAACAGGCAAAGGAGCACAACCAGTCACTGTGGAGGGAGGCAGGAGGGCGGCTCAGGGCACATATCCTAGCAGGGGCTCACTCCTCAAACTTCCCTTCCCGAATGTGCTCGAAGGAGAAGGGCAGGAACTTGAAACCGGTCCCACTGTAGAATTTATTCTGGAACTCGACCCTGGAGAAAGGGGAAAGGAAAGCTGTCATTCCATAGAAACCTTCTGATACCTTGGGACTTCACATTTGAGCTGAAAAGATGCTCCTCCCCCACCCTGCCCCAAACCTCACTGCCCTGGGTGAGCTGAGGATAGCAATTCTCTGCCAGGTCTACCAGTTCCCTGCTGTGCAGAACTCCCACTTTTAAAGCCAGGGACCCACTCTCTGTAAGAGCTCAACATATGGCTTAATTGGTCTCTCCTCAATTCCTGTTTTAGTTTTGCCTTGCCAACCAGAGTGTTTATGCACAACGCTCTGTACAGAGCCTTGAGCAAAAAATGTTCAGTTAGCCTGAGTCTAATAACAATGTTGTTAACAGCCCCTCCAGGCAGGGGCTCACACAGCTCACCTCTAAGGGAAGCTCCCTTGAGGGACCCTAGGCCAATGCTACTGTTTGCTTATTTTTCTTTTTCTGTAGGGAGGGAGGAAGAGGGAGGCTTGGAATGAATGCTGAAGGCTTTCCATTTAGTGAAGGAAATTCTCAGGAAAGTGGGGGAAGTCAGGAGGGGAAGTCTGTGCAAAGCAATGGCAAAAATACTTTGCAACCACAACATCTGAGAAAGAATTCTTCTCTTGGGGACTAAAAGGGAAAACAGACCCTGGACTCCCTTCCCAGCAGCTCAGCATCCATCCCTGATGATCTCCTTGGGGCCCTTTAGGAGGGGGTGGAAGACTGCCCCGTGAGCAGAGCGAGGCTGCTCAGCTGTGCTTCCTCCTGCACACTCGCCCTGGATGACTGCCCAGAAACCAAATCACCTCCAAATATGGACAGAAAAATGCATGATTCAAAGGATAAAAAAGCCAAGGAGAGCTGCCCTGAAGAATAGTTTCCATGTAGTGCTGTGTGACCCTGGGAGCCCCATAACCCCCAGGCAAGAACAGGCGAGGATGGGGGCTGCAGCTGGTTCCAGGTGACAGGTCACATGTGGGGCAAGAGCTTCAAGAACCCTCTAGTTCCCTCAGGCAGGCTTCAGCCTTCAGTTGGGGGCTTCTACCGTCCAAGCCGAGGACGCAGGATTAGAGGTGGCCAGGCGCCTGAGGTTGGGAGGACTATCTGCCAGTGGTACAGGGAGGTCCTCAGAGGCTGCTTAAGTTCTGGGGTGTGGGCTGAGGACCCTGAGTGACAGAGCTGCCAGCTCCACTTCTGGGAGAAGAGTGAAGTGACTTCTCCAGGTGGGAGGGAGGGCAGTTTGCTTTCTCCTCATCCTACGCTCTGCAAGGGCTGGGCCAAGGTCCCCCAGGGAAAACAGGACACAGGAATGGGAGTGAAACAGAGTTTCAAAGTGAAGTTCGTCCAGGGCTCCTGCAAGAGCAATTCCAAACCAGGACCTAGATTCACTTCATGTCCAGCACCCCGCAAAAGTCTTTCATACAGGTTACTGAGGCCACCTCTGAGGAAATGCAGTGGGGCCTGGAAGCCCCTGCTTCTTACCTACTGCTGTTAGGTGGGAATTCTTCATATTGGACAGGCAGCATGCCCACACAGCAAGGGTGTTTCAGAATATTAGAGATAGATTTAAATCTATTTAATTCTAAGTCCCCTTTTCATTCAACAATATATAGCCACCAGTATATAGTCAGCAATATACAGTGGAAAAGTCCCCTGACTTAGCACCCATATTCAGCGGCTAGGGCACCAGCCATATACGTCAAGGCTGGCAGGTTTGAATCCAGCCTAGGTCTGTCAAAGTACAACTGCAACAAAAAAATAGCCAAGTGTTGTGGCAGACACCTGTAGTCCCAGCTACTTGGGAGGCTGAGGCAAGAGAATCACTTAAGCCTAAGAGTTGGAGGTTGCTGTGACCTGTGACACATGGCATTCTACTAAGGGCAACATAGTGAGATTCTGTCTCAAAAAAAAAAAGAAAGAAAAGTCCCTTTAAGGCCCCATTCCATGTCCTAGGAATGAATGATGAATGATGAATGATACACGGCCTTGGTAGTGTATGCTGCCCACCCCCCCGCCACTATGTTCAGAACTCAAAACCTCTGGCTGGGTAATCACACTAATAACTTTCTTTTCCAAACTCCTGAATGGAGCAGCTTTGTTTTCAGATCCTTGTGGGGTGGCACCTGCTGCTTTCATCACCTACCCACAGGGGCCAGTGGGAAGGAACAGGGATATATGCCTGGGAGGGGGCATAGCAATTTTGCTGTGGGAGCAGACAGGTGGTCCCTGTCACACAACAACTGATACTGTCCCTTCTAAAAGCTATTGTTCAAAGGGGGTCATAACCAGGATGTGTTGGGTCTATACTGGGGTCAGCCTGACTTCCCTTCCCTCCTGGACCAAACTCCAGCACAAAGCTAGAAAGCAATTTCCCTGTCAGTCTCCTTACGCTCTCTCCATGCCGCCAGGGCAACAGGGTCTCTGTGCTGGGGAGAGGGCCCCACCTGCCTCCTGGCACATTCTTCCTTCTTTAAGGGTCACTCAACCACTTTGATCCAGGAGCCAGCAAGGTCTTGTCATGCCCCAGGCCCCTGAAGTGCTCCTCTAGAATTCAACAGTGAGAATCTCAGGAAGTCAGATGGGTTTCTCTCTCACCCCTTCCAACTTTAGCACTTGTCAAAGGCTACTGGGTGACTCAGAGGGACTCACTGGGACCAAAACAATCCTGCCATGTAATAGGAACACTTGCTTCCTTGAGTGGCTAAAGGGGGAAGGAGTCCTGAGCTTCTTCCCTTTCCTGGTGGGCGTGTAATTGAGAGAAGGCAGTTTGGAAAGATGATTCTGGTCTGACCTGCTTCTTTGGCCCTTTCTGTCACTCTGAGCAATTCAGGGCCTAAGACACACATCTGTCTGATGTCAAGGCAATGATGTCAGCATGGAGGTACATTTCAGGGGTTCTTACTTCCCTTGGGGCAGCTATTCTGTCAACTACTTCAAGCTCTGCCATGCTGTGACAATACTATATTCCTAACAAAATACTGGTCTCTCTTTTTTTTTTTAGAGATGGGATCTCACTCTGTCACTCAGCCTGGAGTGCAGCGATGTCACCACAGCTCACTGTAACCTCAAATTCCTAGGCTCAAGCAATCTCCTTGCTTCAGGCTCCTGACCAGCTGGGACTATAGGCATGTACCACCATGCTTGACTAATTTTTAAAATTTTTTTGATATGAGGTCTAAGTCTTGTTCAGGCGGGTCTTGAACTCCTAGCCTCAAGTGATCCTCCCACCTTGGCCTCCCAAAGTGGCAGGGTTTATAGGTATGAGCCACCACAGGTGGCTTCATTCTGTTTCCTTAACCATCATCCAATCTGTGAGTGTACAAGCATGTATAACTACACGTACATGGAATCTGCTAGATTGTTTGGAATGTAGGACCAAGGGTCAACAGTCTTTCTGCATAAAAATCAGCATTATGTCCACAGTTATAACTGTAATCACATCCTTGCCTCTGTATTCTCTGAGGAAGGAAAGATGCCCAATTATGGTAGGCAAGAAAGCCAAGCACACTTTATGGGTAGGAAGAAGGACATAATTCAGAAGGAAACAGAATTAGCAGATTAGTACATTAACCTCCTCATTATGTTTTCAAACATGTCACCCACCTTCTAATGACCCTACATGAATCTAAGAATAGTGGTTTACATATTACCAAATTCAATGCTTTTGGTCTTGTCCCTGCTGAAGAGACCCAAAACTTCTACGTCTATGAGGGAGTGGCCCTTAAATTAAGAAACATCAGGGATGGCTTGGCGCCTGTGGCTCAATCGGCTAAGGCACCAGCCACATACACCTAAGGTGGCGAGTTCGAATCCTCAGCCCGGGCCTGCCAAACAACAATGATGGCTGCAACCAAAAAATGGCCAGGCATTGTGGCGGGCGCCTGTAGTCCCAGCTACTTGGGAGGCGGAGGCAGGAGACTCGCTTGAGCCCAGGAGTTGGAGGTTGCTGTG